ATCGCGCCGCCGGAAAACAACGGAACGCTCATAGTTTGCCAAGTTGAGTTGCATCGGTTGGTGCTGCACGACGCAGGCATAAATGGCCTGGCGAAGGAACTGCCAGCTCACGGCTTCAGCGAGCCCGCCCGAGGACGCAGAATTAGACATCCGGTTGAGAAGTCGATTGGATCCGACCCAGTGGCACTTCTCGTCGGTCGCAAGCTCGAGCTCTTCATACATCCGTAGGATCACAACCGTGAAGAGGAGATTGTCATCGTAGGTCTCTTCTGGAAGGGCGAGAGCTGCGATCAGGAGTTCGAGGCATTGGCCGTGGTATTCTGATGCTTCCCAATCACTGGCCCCTTTTACAATGGCGTCATGTCGAGCTGCAAGGGCGAGGACAGCTTTGAGAACCATCGGATATCGGAGAGCGCGGCGAGGGACCTCGGTCCCGAAGTGAGAACGGAGGTCGCAGATGTCGGCCTGAAAAACGTTAGCTTCCATGCAAAGTGAAGATGATGGAGGGAAAGAAAACTTGGTTGAGCATACCCATGGCGCAAGCTTCTGGATAAAGAGACGGAGAAGGTGGGCTTCGCGAGGTGACAGTGACGACGAGCTGCCTTGTCTGGAGCTGACCGCACTCAGCGGCGATGCTGCGCTCGTCCAAGTACTTGCGGATGCTATCGGAGAGAGCATGGGAATGGCCTGGGGTGACAGGCTTGAGGATTTGCCGGGAAACTGTTGAACTTCAGTGACTGGGGGCGTCGTGGGGGTTTGTGCTGGATTATCGACATGATGATGTTCTCGTGGGCTCTCATCCTGAGAATACATAATCTCTGGGAAGGGTAGATGAGAGAATACAGTATAAGACTGTGGGATGTCCTGCGGCGTCTCATTTGAGGGGACAAGGCCATCCCCTTGACGGACCGGTGAAGTGTCGCTTGTATTGTCATCGTCAGAGTCGTCAGATGATTCGTGCACGAAGGTCACTGAAGCAAAATCAGTACTGCGAGAAATACGGATGTGCAACTAAGCAGAAGGGCAGGCACATACACGAGTGAGGGACCTTCACCCACGTCTGCTGGGAGTCCCAGACCAGCTCAAACTTGGATGCCGTGCCATTGCTCTTCTGGTAAACATGACGGACAGATTTGAAACGAAAAGGAGGATCTAAGCGACAAGCTCGCCCCAGGCGAGTGCAGGCGTTACACGAAGACGCCCCTGCGCGGGTAGTACATCTTATATGACGCAGACGACAACGTTCACATCCCCTTCCAATTCTCATGGCAAGCAATTGCGGGGCAGAGGCCCTTGAGCGTTGATCGCTGCGGGGAAGGTATAGTAGGCAAAGAGGGACATCGGCGTGTTCGTCGGGTTCATCCAGGCAACTGGATACAAGCGGCAACGGGAATCACCAGGGAGAGGAAATCAAGTGGCTGCTGATAAGATGATCTTAGGGAAACAAAGAGAAAAATGGTGAAGAAGAACAGATGTGCTTGCGAGAGGAATGGGCCGTCGGTTATTGATCTTTTCGAAATGCGGAGAGACCGATGATGGCCTGTGCTTGGGGCTTGCTTAGTCACACTCCCCCGCATTTCCCCGGCCTCTCACAGCTAGCCAGTTCAGGAGAATGCGTTTCCACATCTTGACGCGAGCCAAGCCTTGCTCCTCACCTCGTATCTCCCACCTGATCCAGTGACATTGACGGATCAGCGTAGCGTGAGGTTGGTACGCGCCAGAGCTCGTCTCGATGACCCCTTCACCCCTTCTTCACACTGACTCGCAAGATCATACCCTGGGAAAGCCAATCTGTCTCCCGAGTCACGAGTGATCTTGATGAGAGAATATCCTAGGGTGGATCTAGCTCGTGGTGGTCATAGCTTATCTCTTGGTTGTAAAGTCTGAAGACATGCAGGCCTGCCCCTCCCTTGCTGTAAGTATTTTGATCTGCTGCACTGCGTTTTCTCTAAGTTGGAAAACAGGTGTCAATATGCAGTGGTTACAAATCACCGGGTGTTCCGAGCATTGCAATACATAGTAGTTGCAGAAGCCGCGCGAAGCGCAACTGGCAAAAGGCGATATGCGTAGCTGCACGTGGAAGATCGGCCTTCAATATACTGTTTCTGGCTCGATATGCAGCAACATGCATCAGACTGCGCTCATGGGTGTCACATGACCACTGGGCTACAATATGGTTGCCATGGATAGTCTCTACCAGAGATTGTACCAAAAAGACCATCATTGATTCTAATTCATCAGATACTAAAGTCATAAAAGTGGTATAAACGCAACCCCAACTACCTGTATGCTATCGTCGAATTCACACTTTTGTATTCCTCGTTTAAACGCTGATCGTCTTGAAGACACTGCACAGGTTATTAGCATCCAACCCTCAAAAGAACATCCGAAAGCATGACTTACCCAAAGCCACCGCCACCGGTAGCCATGATGGTGCCAGGCATCTGGGCCTGCCAGTGTACCTCCTTGACTGAGTCCATGTAGTGAACGAACAACAACTGCGGGGGGACCTCTTGCATCGCAGCATCCCGGTTCTCCTCTTCATCCAACTCAACGGCCAAATCCCACAACGTAACGGTGTTATCAGCAGAACCGACCGCGACAACACTGTCGTCGGTGGGGTGCCACTCAATACTCGTGACAGGCTCGCGGTGGAAGTCGAACGACGCGACCGGAGAAGCCTTAGTCGGGGCGGAGGAAGCGCTGGGCTTCCAATGTCTCAGATCCCAGACGGCCCACTGACCGTCATCAGCGCCGGTTGCGAGCAGGTGGAAAGTCTGGTTTGACCAGCTCATGACGTTCACATCGGTGTTCGAAACCTGCACATCAACGGCGGGCTTACGCGACTTGGACCGAACATCCCAAACCTTGACGGTTCCGTCACTGCTGGCGGAGGCGAAGACGTTCTTCTCGTTCGGGGACCACTGGAGTTCTTCGATGGAAGATCTGTGACCGGTGAAGGGACGGGTGTCGGTCACCCAGCCGCCTCCCTCTGTACGAGTCGTCACGTAGATTAAGCCGTCGTTGTCACCAGTCAACAGCTTGCCAAGGGGCTGCAACGGAGACCAGTCAAGGGCGTAACCTTCCGACTTGTGCATGCGCAAGGTAGAGAGGGGCTTGGATGCCGAGGGAGGGAGCATGGTACCGGGAACATCGAAGCTGGTGAGATGAGGGGTGACATCGTGGATGACGACTTGCGAATTCTCGAGCATAGTGGCGGTGATAGTCTGAGGGGGCTTGGAGTAGTCGCCCGACTGGTTGGGAGTCTGGTGAGCGCGGATACGGTTGGTCGTTGATCCGAGAGGGATGCTCTTGTGCTCAAGGATGGCTTCGCCCATGTCGTCGTCGGAATCCGAGTCGCTCTCGGAGTCCGTCTCATTATCTTTCTCCATCTTGCTCAATCCGCTCAGCTTAAGAACCATCAGCTCGTTCTCCTTGGCGCGCTTGCCCTCGGCTTGTGTACCCGCAACGGCGTAGACGGTCGCGGGGTAGGTCTTGCGGTTGTCGCCCAGGTTGTCGCGGACGATATCGAAGGAAAGACAGGGCCATGGTGTGCTGAGGGTGTGAAGCATGTCGTACGTGGTCGGGTCGGGCGACAGGACCTCTCCGGGGGCGAGCTTCGTTCTTCCGGGAATGAAAGTCTGCTTGTCGACATCCATGGCTTCTGCGGGGAGCGAGTGTTGTTAGGACTTTCTGGGCGCTCCAAGTGGTTCAGTAGGATATTGTAGCGTACCTCTTTCCTCTTCCTCACGCTCTGCATCCGGACGACCATCCACACCGGCCTCGAGAACCTCATCTTCACTTTCGAACTCGTCCTCGTACTCGTCCTCGAACTCTCCCATCTCATCGGGGGGGTTCTCGGTGATCGGGCGCTCGCCGGCCTTGAGCGCGGCGGACTGCTCGTCGGAGGCGTCGGCAGATCTCTTCGACATTGTGTATAGGTTGATGTGTAGGAGATGTCCTCGAAGGAAAGAAACAGCTGTCGACGAGCCAGTCGTGCAGCGGGACGATAGGAAGAGGGAAGAGGAGCCTGGAGGGGGGTGGAAAATTGACTGATTAGGGTTCGGAGAACATTTTTTCCATGATTTTTTTTTTCTGTTTCTGTTGCGCCGCGGCGAAACTCACGGGACAAGCACACTTTACCTATCGCGGACTAGTGGCGATCGGAGAATGGCTGCCCGCTTTTCTGCTGGGCGGGCGGCTGTGGTTGAAGTTGAAGGTGAAGGCAGACACTGAGAAACTGAGAGCGACCAACCTCCATCGAGAGCTGCCCTGAGGCCTCGATTTCCCTTCTTGCCGCTTGCTTCCACACCCACTTCTTCCACTCCCACCCACCCACTCCCCCCCTCAAGGGGCTACCAATTATTTCTCTTAGCTCAACTCAGCTCAACTCAGCTCTGCTCAGCTCATTCCTCCCCGTTAACCGTTAACCACCCCCCCCTCTCTCTGTTTACTTTTCTATCCAAGGCGTTTATCTAATTTTCTTCTTTTCATCTCTCTGGTTTGTTGCTCCGTTGCTCCTCAAAGTCTGGCCCCTGCTTTTGGACCGTTTCCTTCCTTGAAGCTCCGTCGTCCCATGGCTGCGTGCCTTGGCTGCTAGTGCACCTGTCACATTACCTGGGCTCCTCCTGCAACAAAAGGTGCATACTCATTGATCACTCTATCAACAATAACTACCCCTCCCCCCTCCCCCCCCTCCCCCCCGTTTCTCCAGGGACCCTCCTTGAAGAACTTTCCAGCCCTTGCTACTCATTGTTGACTCGCCAACATGGCGCTGACAAATTTGTCTGACAATCCGGCAGTCCTATTCTTTGCGACCGAATTTCACTACATGCGTTCCGACCAAACATCGCTCTGATCTTACACCCACAAATTTGGTTGGTCTTAGCATCCCCGCTCCACCGTCTCCGTCCGGACCTCGACCGTGTTTACGTCCAGCGCTAACCAAACCACGCCATCCAGGAACACCCTCCAGACCTCCATCCACACATCTCCCCGTTATGGATACGTCACAACTTAACATGGCTGGTGCCTCCGAGCCCGCCGACCAGCTCGAACAGGAGCAGGCGCAGAGCATGGATCTCCCTACACCCACTCAGCATGGAATGGTCGCCGGGGCGGACGAGACCATGATCGCAAATGGTTACAGCAGCGACTCCCGCGCCCACTACTCTTCCCACGACTTCCAGTCCCCCGCCCGAGATTACCACTCTCAAGACGGCGAAGCCCCTCGATCGAACTATCCCTCGCAATTGCCTTCCTCCTCAAGGCCTAGCTCCGGCCACTCCAACCATCCAGACCGTCTCGTATCACAACCGTCACAGGATGTCAGCCACAAGCAAACATCGTCGCAAGCGAAGAACAGCGTGGTGATCAAGGTGGGGATGGTGGGGGATGCTCAGATCGGAAAGACGAGTCTCATGGTGAAATATGTGGAAGGCAGCTGGGATGAGGATTACATTCAGACTCTCGGTATGTGGGGATGAAATCGTGTTCACCCCCAATTTGCGAGCCGTGCTGATGTCGGATGACAAGGTGTCAACTTCATGGAGAAGACCATCTCGATCCGGAATACGGAGATCACATTCTCGATCTGGGATCTTGGTGGCCAGCGCGAGTTTGTCAACATGCTTCCGCTCGTCTGTAATGACGCAGTGGCTATTCTTTTCATGTTTGACCTCACGCGCAAGAGCACCCTGAACTCGATCAAGGAGTGGTATCGCCAAGGCCGTGGATTCAACAAGACTGCCATTCCCTTTTTGATTGGCACTAAGTATGATCACTTTGTCAACTTTCCCCGGGAGGACCAGGAAGAAATTTCCATTCAGGTGAGCTACTGCGGGTCCCTAGTCTTGAAACGTTTGCTAACGGCGCACAGGCCAAGCGCTTCGCCAAGGCAATGAAAGCCAGCCTGATTTTCAGTAGCACCAGTCATAGCATCAATGTCCAGAAGGTCAATCACAAATCTTCCATATGTTCGTACTCATCTAACCCAGACTGCAGATTTTCAAGATCGTTCTCGCCAAAGCTTTTGACCTGAAGTGTACCATCCCTGAAATCGAAAACATTGGCGAGCCTCTGTTGTTGTACAAAAATGTTTGAGAGACATGACAAAACGAAGTGGGATGAACGATTACGTGCCTAGGACGACGTGATGTTGATGAACGAAGTTTCCCCTCCTTTGGGTGCTAGGATGCGTTAGCTCCTTCTGCCGGATCCTCGAGGATCAGAGGTAGACTGGTCCGTGTTGGTGTTCTTTTTCAAACCTATTTTTCTCAATCACCCTCTCTTATTTCCATTTTGTCCTTCATAAGCATTGGGGTGCGCCTGGATTTTCCTTCATTTCATCGCTTGACTTACCACTTTCACAGTGTGTTAAATTCCCCTGTTCACCTGTTCATTATCTCATTGTTTTCAAGCGCTCATTTGCGGGCTGTGTCTGTCAATACTATTTTCCCGTCTGGGTCATTGCACAATAGAGCAGGAGTGCTCGGCCCCAGCATTGGTCTGATATGTTCTTCTGTTCGTGTCGTTTGCAGCTCCTTGAGGAGATCCTTTTCTTTTGTTGATAATATAATTTGACCTATGTCAGTTTGAAAAGAGTAGATACTACCGACGTAGGCACCCTGCAGACTCTGTCCTAGGGACCATCGACTGGCCTACTACAATCTTCATATGTCGATCGTGGGTTGAATCAAAATTGTCGGATATGCACAGCGCACAGGTCTAGCTTACACGGAAATCACATTCATCTCATAGAATCATCTATTGTACTATGATAGTCATCAAAGACTTAGACTAAGCTGTTCCTCAGTGTACAATGTATAGCAGGATCGAAGAATGGCAAGATACTAGCTTGTTGTGGAGTACGATAATCAAGCTACAATGAGTGGCTGTACAGTAGCGCTTGTCTTATCGCAACGTGAGTTTCGGACCCGGGTTCGGCCTCGGCCTTGCTTTCGGACATGGCAATTCTCCGCGCCCAGTTCTCGGGATTTTCAGCCTTGTTTGTTAGCTGGACTCCACAACCATAGCTCTCCATACCTATCCCAGCCTCCCAGGGTCTGCTCCACTTGCTTCAGGAGTTATACGAGCATGAACGGTCCCTGTTTCAACGTTTGGTCTCGGTATCCCCGAATTACCCGGCCCCCTAAGCTTTATCTCCGTCGATCGGTTCAAGACGAGGAACTATAAAATTGTTATCCCAACGAAGGATGCCGGGATAAATGCAACCATCCTAATCAAGACACACACATCACAAAGTTGCAGACTTGAACCAAACCAGCACAATGAGCCATTCCGACCTTCTTCACCTTGTCAACTCTCTGGCCAACTATCCAGCACTGGAGACCGTCGATGAGCCCACGCGAAAGCAGCTCCTCGAGAGCATTGAGAAACTACGACGCAAAGTCGAGACTCCGACCGACTTCACAATTCGAACTGTCTTTGGGGTATGCTTGTGGTTGATCTCACGAGATGAGAGTCGAGACTGACAAATCACAGAGCCACCAAGCAATGGTACTACGACTGGCTGTGGATCTGGGACTTTTCGATGCCATCGCTCAACAAGGCGGCACGGCCACCACAGCCCAGCTAGCTGAAGCCACTGGAGGCGACGAGCTCCTCGTCTGTACGTTCAATGTTCCCAAGAATATCGCCTAGTCTCGTCCTCAGACTAATACCACCTACCAGCCCGCATCATGCGCTTCCTTGCCGCCATCAACATCTTCGAAGAACTCGCCCCATCAACCTACAGAACCACACCTCTGGCTGCAGCATACACCTCACAATCTCCTCTCTCCGCCATTGTGATTCACGCGTACGTCCGCCCAAGTTCCCTGCCTCCTACCCCTAAATCACCCTTCTAATGCAAGTTCAACAGAACATACACCCTAGTAACAATGTCCCAACTCCCGGCCTACTTCGCCGAAACCGGCTGGAAAAGCCCCGACGACGCCACGAACGGGCCCTTCCAACACACGCACCGCACCACGCAGACCTTCTTCGAGCACCTCGGCACCAACCCGCACCTCCAGCAGGCCTTCAACGCAGTCATGTCCCTGGACTTCCGGCGCAGCAGCTCGGCAAAGAAATGGTTCGAGCTGTATCCGATCGAATCGAAACTCTTCCCTGCCACCACCACCACCACCACCGCAGACGAAGACCCCAACCGCGCAACCCTAGTCGACGTCGGCGGCTCCCAGGGCAAAGACCTCCTAGCCTTGTGCCAGCATCTCTCCATCCCACCACCACCACCACCAGCATCAACAACCGACCCTTCTCTCCAGACCCAAGCCCAGACCCAACCCCCCACGCATCCCCAACCAAATTTGATCCTCCAAGACCTCCCCGCCGTCATCGCCTCCATCCCCGCCTCCGTATCCGCCACATTCCCGGGGTGCGTCACTCTGCAGCCGCACAACTTCTTCGATGAGCAGCCCACCCGCCGCGCGCGGGCGTACTTCCTGCGCACGGTCCTGCACGACTGGCCCGATCGGCAGGTGCTACAGATCCTGGGGCGGCTGCGCGACGCGATGGCGGAGGACTCGGTGCTGCTCGTCAATGAGGGGGTGGTGCCCGAGACGCGCGCGGGGTTGATGGCCGTGCAGACGGATTTTATTATGTTGTGTAACTACGGGGCGTTGGAGCGGACGAGGGCGCAGTGGGTGGATCTGTTGGAGAGGGGTGGGTTTGAGGTCTGTGGGGTTTATGGGGAGGACGAACAGCAACGGCAGCAGGGGGGGCATGTGGTGTTTGAGGCGAGGGTGAGGCGGGCTTCTTCGTGAGATGGGCTTGGGATGGGTCTTGGGAGAGGGAGATGTGGGTGTTTGGTGTTTTGGACTTAATGATTTCTGGTTTTTTAGATATCAGGAGAGAGATATACTAAAGCATGGCAGAGCGTGGGAGCCATTGAGTCTATCATTACTAAACTCAATGTTCGTGCGAGAGTGATACTATGTCATGTTTGCTAAGTGTTTCTTTTCTTATCTTTCTTTCTGTTGCTGACTTGGTTTATCTTCTACTATATCCTCAGGGAAATGGACTGATGCCCCACTAGCAAGGCACCTCCCTTGGCCGAAGAAATACCCCGCCGGGCATCGTGCTCGATTGTGTTTGGGCCACGATAGCCTGGTGCCACTCATCGTCCGGTATATCAAGATGCAATATGCTGGTGGAAGAAGTCCACGTAGTCGAAGAAGCTCCGCTTGTACTGCCGCTCGAACCGTCCGTCGGTGCGGTTGACCGTCTGCAGGCCGTACATGTTGGCGTAGCTGCCGAACTCGTCGTTGTCGAGGACACTCCACGCCAGCGCGCCGACGACATTGATGCCATCCTCGTGGATAGCCGTGACGACCTCGCGCAGGAAGAAGTGGTAGTACAGGGTGCGCTCGAGATCGTAGCGTTGCGCGTTGAGTGAGCGGTTGGCGTCGGCGAAAGGGTTGAAGCCGTACTCCGATATCAGGATACCCTTCGGCCGGAAGGTGCTCCAGAGGTAGCCGAGCTGCTGGCGCACGTACTGCGGCGCGATGTAGGCGTAGTCGTTGGACGCCTCGCCCATGAGCCAGCCGTTGGCCTGGACGTTGGTGAGCGTGGCGCAGGACGGCCAGAGCGGGTTACTGGAGTTGGCGGCGCAGGCCTCGATGCCCTCGGGCGCCGGAGAGGCAAACTGCGCGGTGTACGGGTCGATGGAGATGAAGTCAACAGTGTTCTTCACCGTGGCGAGCTCCTCGTCCGTCAGCGCGTCGATGGTGATGTTGGGGGTGCTGAGCACCTCGGACGGGATCTGCTCGCCGAGGAGGAGCGGATTGCCCATGATGCCGAGGATGAAGGCCTGATAGCGCTGGGCGCTGGTGGTGTGGGTGCTGTTGGTCGCGTCAAGAGGTAGCGCGAGGTTGTTGGCGAATTTCAGGGTGATTTGAGCCGTGCCGCCTAGGGTCTCCTTGTACCAGTGGTAAGCGGCAGCGTGTGCGAGGAGTATGTCCTTGAGAATGCTGTATGACTTTGCGACGCTGCCCACGGAGATGTTGGGCTCGTTGAAGGTGACCCAGTATGGTACCCGATCGGCGTACCGAGTTATCACTTGTTTGGCATAGTACAGATAGTGCGTGGTCAAATTGCCCATGTCCGCAACCACAGACGGCGGATAGTCGGCATGGACCAGGGTCACGATAGGGGTGACCCCGTACTCTAGACAGGTGTTGATCACGTCATCGTAATGAGCCAAGCCCTCGGTATTCACAGGCGATCCAGCCACTCCAAAAGGGACAATGCGGCTCCAGGAGATGGAAAACGAGTAGTAGGGAACACCCAGCGCAGCCAGTCGCGCAATGTCTTGTTTGTATAGATAATAATTCATGGTGGCCACATTGGCATCGCTAGCACTGTCGTTCGACTGGAGCGCGCCAATGGTGTCTAGAATACTTGGTCCTCGGCCTCCCAGCTGAAGGCCTCCTTCAATCTGCCATGCACTGCCTGCAACGCCCCAGATGAAGTTTTCGGGAAGCTTCTTTTCCGGGTTCGCCAGGTACGGAGTCAGAGCCGGTGGAAATACCAGCTCACTGCTTGGAACCGGGGTAGGAGAGACTGTCGTTGTAAAGGGAGGCCCTGAAGAGTAGGATAACGACGCCCAGAGCTCATTGTATGCTTCCTGGTCATACTCAGTCTCCGAGCCGGGATCAGCCGTTGTGGTGGGCTCGAGGCTGTAGGTAGTGTAGGTGACACCTGTGGGCAGGAGGCTCGATGCTTCACTGAAAGGTGGAGCGAATGGGGTAGCAAAGGAGATAGGAGAAGGCAGTGGTGTTGCATAACGGTTCGATGTGAGCTGAGTATAACTGAAAGAGCTGTACCGGTAGGCTGGAGTCTCGAAAGATGCAGTCACGGTGGGAGAAGCATGTGGCGAGCTGGAGTGTGCTACCAACGCCTCTCCCAACTGGCTCCCAACCAACGCCGTGGTCAGAAGCGTATCTTTGAGCAATATGGTAACCGGATTGACCAGGTCTACCTGGTCGATGGTCTCGTCAGGTCGGAGTTGCAGGAACTCTCTCCACCGTGGGACTAGGTAGGTTCTTTCCCGTATTTATAGTCATGGTCGAGCACCATTCTCTCCCGAGCCCACCCGCTATAGCAGAGTCAGGGTCGCAGCAGAAAAAGATTGAGATCTGCAGAATGGAGTGTAACCTTGAAATGGTGCTGTGTGGGGGTGAAGACGCCCTTGTGAGCTGTGGACATGGCGACACACGTAGCTTCTTCCCCCACACTTCCCCGCAACTTCGGTGAGTCGAGCAATGTCAGACCATATCCCGAGGTATTACCGATGATAAGCCGAAAACAAGGACCGTCGGGAAATCCGGAGAGGTGATGCAAACGACGAGAGCTGAATGTGGATTGTGGGGAGGTGTTGCGGGGAACCATCATCAGACCCTGATCATGGTGGATTGCTTTGATTGCTAATTGCTAGAATCGGCAAGTCGATTTCGGCCCCACCCCGTCGGACAATTCCAGTTGTCACCCGAAGGTCTTCCCCAGTCAGAGATGGCCTTGGTTTTCAAGTCTCCTCACGTCATTATATCAATGCTGGTTTGAACCAGCTTGAAGGGTCTCTGTCCACGCTGGCACATGTTTTACTTTTGGTGCCTCTCGTCCATGTCCATGTATTCTCCTCACCCCAAGGGCAGGTCTTCCTACATTCGACAATGAATCAAGCAGCAAGCAACGAAGTTCCTGACAAGCAGCTTCCTACAGCATCACATCTACTAGGAGAGTGAAAACCATCATCTCAGAGTTTCAAGTTCAAGAAGTCTGACAGAGGGGGGTGCCTCCCACATTGCGTGATTGGTATGCATACCAGGACTCGTCTGCGCGCATCTATACTCGAAAGCGGAGGCTGCATCAACCTTTATAAACTCGTACTAACCCACCTTTCCCTCGAATCTGCGAACGAAAGATATCTCATTATTATCCGACATGGTCTGATCCTCGAAGGTCGGATAAATCGAATCGATCTCGACCCCGCAAATGCTTTGACTGCAGCCCGCAAATCAGGGTCTGGGCGACGCGCGCCTCCGCAGGAAATATGCCCGAAGCAGGACAAGCCATGCGAGAGTCAAGGTTGGCATCCAAGCTGCCGGTAACTTGGCCATCATGAGTCCAAAGAATAGTCGCTGGGATAACCAAATGCATGTTGGAATCCCACCAATCCCCCGTAGCAAATATTGCCGGATGGCTCAAATTCACTGCAAGCTGAAGCGGCGCCCAACTCCCTTGACATGGCTGTGGCTTCCCCGCTGATAGAGGCATATAATGATGGGGATACCCCGGATTCTCCACAATCTCCACGGCCTCCACAGTGTTTACGAAGCATTATCAGATCTAGGGTCGTTAACAAGATGAAACCGAAGGTCTACCAATTTGTGGTGGCCCTTTTTGCTGCCTTCGGATCCTTCCTTTACGGTTATGACCTGGGTGTCATCGCCTCCGTCGTTGCGTCAGACTCTTTTGTCAACAAGTTCTTGACTCATAATGGGAGCGTAATCTCTGGAACAGTTGTGTCCTTGTTCACAGCTGGTAAGCCACAAACCTCCACTCCTAATGTGCTTGCAATTAATCCTGTACAGGTGCGTTCTTTGGAGCCCTAGGAGCGGGCTATACTGACCCACTCGGTCGTCGCGCAACCCTCGTGTTGGGGTCTGTGCTGTTCTGTATCGGAGGCATCCTCCAAACAGCAGCCGTCAACGTTGGCATGTTGCTGTTCTCACGCATCTTTGCTGGTTTCGGGATAGGTATTCTTGTCGAAACCGTCCCTATGTTCCAGGCAGAGATTGCACATGCCAGCATCCGAGGTATTTTGGGGTCGCTTCAGCAGACCATGCTGGGCATCGGTGCATTATCCGCGTCCTGGATCGGATATGGCTGTGAAAAATCTTGGGCCAATACTGGCGATAGTGTTCAGTGGCGACTTCCGTGAGTGACACTACCTCGATAGACTAGGAATTGTCTAACAAACACTTCCGGACAGTCTAGCACTTCAGCTGGTTCCGGCTATTGGCCTAGCTTCATGCATCTACTTCTTCCCCGAGTCACCTCGCTGGCTTATTGACCACGATCGTCACGAAGAAGGATTGCACAACCTGGCTCGCCTGCACGCCAACGGTAACATTGACGACCCATATGTCCGGGCAGAGTATGAGTTGATCCAGCGTCAAATCGAGGAGGAGCATCAGCACGCCGCCAAGTCCTATAAGGAGTTGTTTGCTAACCGTTCCAACACACGTCGCATCATTCTTGCGTGTGCCTGTCAAGCATCCAGCCAGATGTGAGCCTCTATCCCACTCACCCTCCAAGCATCTCGTCTTACCATCTCTCAGGACCGGCGTCTCCGCCATCCAATACTTCTCCCCAGCCATCTTCGCGCAAATCGGAATCTCCACCTCAAAAACACTTCTCTACCAAGGCATCAACTCGATCATCGGCGAGCTCGCGCAATTCATATTCTTCTTCCTCATCGACCGCGTTGGCCGTCGCCCATTGCAGATCGGAGGCAACATCGCCTGTGGGGTTGCCTTTATCATCGGCGCCTCACTCCTGTCGCAGTACCCTCCCGATTCCACCAACACGGCCGCGCACTGGGCCTTCATTGTTGCCAGCACCTGGGTCTTCAATTTCTGTTTCTGTGCCTCGGGGACCATGTCCTGGATCATTCCCGCTGAGATCTTCAACACCGCCACCCGCGCCAAGGGCATCTCGCTGGCGACCATGGTCTCGTTCGCATTCAACACGATGATCGCGCAGGTCACGCCCATCGCGCTGGAGCGTATCGGCTGGCGGTATTACTTGTTGTTCATCGTGTGTGACTTCGGCAATGCGCTGTTCTTCTATATGTTCTTGCCGGAAACAAAAGGGCTGTCGCTGGAGGTGATGGACGATTTGTTCACCAATGCACCGTTGTTGGTTCCCGGCAGCCGGTGGGAGGTGTCACCGGAGGTAAATATTGAGAAGGCGTTGGCGCAGGAGGCTGCTGCGGTAGAGTTGGCGGATCGCTTTTCGGTGAAGGGGGATGAGAAAGAGGGGCCTGTGTCGACGAGGGTGGAGGCGGTTTGAGGGGAAGGCCCAATTCTGCCTATATCAAGCTCTGTCAGCTTGATTGAGTCTGCATAGGTAGTTAGCTATGTAGGCGTTTCCGGGAGCAAGAACAAGAACTCACCTGAAATGCCTGAAGTCTCTGAATAGTTGAAGCAAGTTATGAATTAAGCAATGGCGATCGCCCTCGCAATGGCCGACTTTGGCGTAGCTCTTACATGTAAAAAGATCTATTCTGGACGGTTGATGGGCGAGCTCCTACAGTATGAAACTAGAAAGGGGCTATTCCCAAAGGAATCGGTACCGCAAACGGGCACGAGAGTGATGGAAAAAATCTACCCAATATGCTGACACCTGGCACTTTGTTGTAGTTCGAGTACTATACCTGTAGATGCTAGTGCCATCACCACACTACCTGCAACATCAGCATTTTCCTCACCTACCGCAGGCTCCCCTACCCAAGCCCTAACTACCTTTCGGTCCCCGAGCAGGTCTATGATAAATGAACTTGGCTGAGGTACAGCAGGAGGTGATTCTATCAGCCCGCTGCAATCAAGATGTCTATTCCAGAATGATATTGATACTTTGAAGTATAATCCAGAGCCAAGCCTGCGACTGCCTGGCACTTAATGCAGGAATTATACAATCAGCCCTAGGACCTCTGTCCAGGTGGAGAGGGCTGAATAGACATCACAAGGCATACATATTGAATCTGTACATGGTCACCAACCTCCTGGATTCACAATAGCTAATCGATGTCCTTGCAATCAATCATGTCTTTTTGCAATCTCTAGCATCTTTGTGTATCCTCCATTCTTCAATTTCAACATCCACCACTTTCTTATACTATCCATCGTTCCAGTATCGAAGATAACCATGGATCTTCTATACTAAACCGATAGTGACCATGCGGTAGCCTTTTCTACTCCGGAAATGTCTTTGATAGTTAGAAATATGTCATCAAGCACCCCAAAAACAATAATCATACTGGGATTTGCTAGAGCGATTCAAAAAGCTGCCCATCATCACCGTGACGAGCCTGATTCCCGAAAGAGTTCAGCGCATATCTCTTGAACTTCGAAATGATGATCTAGCTTTGGATGTGAAGGACATCAAGCCGTTGAGTTCTCGATCCTGAAGAAACGCGTTGACCTATGCTAATTCTTGATGCACAACAGGGAAACTTCAAGCGATTTCGAAGTCGCCACGACGGCTCGATGTAGATTGAGACGCTGGCTAGTTGCCAGATTGATGCCATACGTCTAGCCACCCATGCCGAACAAGAAGGTGACATCGGGTCACAGCCATGGACTCGGGAGTCTACCTCCTGGGCGGGCTCGGTCAACCATCTGTTTGAAGGCCATTGCAGTTACCCTGGCTTCTACTACTGCGACTAGCACTGCTATGGTTGCGTCTCTTTCGTCTCTCCCAAGCACCACAGAGGAGGCATTGGTTGAGGGGTGTCTTCTGATCGGGATCATCTGTGCCTGGGGCTTGATCTTGACGATCTCTACTTCTGCAAGCGGAGCAAGTCAGTCTAAAGACTGAAGTCGAACTAAGGGATAACCATGTATGTGGCACTGATTGATGTGAAATATGTTGGCAGAGTTTTCTTGTATGTATCGTTGTATATCTTAAGCAGTATAGATTAGAATATATCGGCAATTTGAGGTCTCAGAGGTGAGGTGCTTGGAACGTGTTCTCAATTCTGTTGGTGGTTGGGTTGTTGAAGGTACTAACGTATCAACATGGGAAGCAACTTGGTTACGCGTTGCATCACGTGGCCGGATTACTCAGCTATGCCGACAGAATACATTTCTCAACCTCGGGCTCATGATCATCCAGCGTAGAACTACCATGTTGAGCCAGGTAACTATCTCTATATCTCGTCGGCTGGTAGCGTGAGTAAGTCCGGCTAATTCACAATGATCCTTTATCCCGATATGCATACACACAGCAAAGCGCATTGTCACCTTCCAGCAATCTAAAGTCCCGACCTTGGGACGTCGATGGAGTATGAAAGGGAAGCGCACTTGTACCTTTGACTGAGAACTCTTTCGTGGGCTAGCTACTCCTTTCAAATCGGTGCCAAGTTGGAAAACGTCTGTAAAGAATAACAAACATACGTTCAATCCATTCTTTATACGAAGCATAACTTCTTTGATTGCATTGTATCGCAACCCTCCCATGAGCCGGTATCTTTCCCCGCAGCTCTTTATGGAATCCCTTTATTCCAGAGCGAACAAGTGTTAGAGCACAGAAGAAAGAATCCATCCCACCCCAAGCACAGATCTATAAATAGGACCATCAACCCCGACCTCAATCGAAACCATCATCCCCACCACCACCACCACCCACTCACCCCAAACCTTTACTTACCAAACACTCCAACAGCGTTTCCTACCCGACAAAAGCATCCCAACATGACCCGCGTCGAACCAACAACCACCCAGACCACCCCGCAGGGGGTGATCGAGATCCAAATCATGACCGGCGGCCATCTCAACCTCGTGGTGCTCCGGACCCAGGACCCCCGATTCGAGGTCGATGACTGGGCGCCGGCCCTCCAGCTGCTCCAAGAGCAGTGGAGGCGCAAGCGCCAGGACGAGCACCTCGAGTGTCGCGACCAGCCGATCGGAGGGATGATCTGCGTCGGGCCTTACATTCGACTGTACATCGAACCCTTGACTGCGGACGGCGGCAACGGCCCGGCCCGGCGCTTCGAGTTTCAGGGCCGCAACGAGTTCGACGACTTCGGGCCGCACGTGCAGCCCTTCGAGGGGATGCCCCCGATCGTCTTTCTGGAGTTCATTCGCACTGTGCGCGCGGGCCGTGTTGAACGTGATGTGTCGCAGCCGGAGGCGGAGGGCGATCTTAAGTCCGATACGAAAACCGGTCTTCAATTGATCGGTTTGCAATTGGGATTGTTGGAGTGTGTGAAATGGCTAAGCCTGGAGCACTTTGAGCCTGAAGGTGAAGAGAAGAAGGAGGAGGAAGAGGAGAAGGAGGTGAAGAAAGAGGAGGATGAAGAGAAGAAGCTGAAGAAGGAGGAAGAGGATGAGGGACAGGCCTGTTAGGGATGTCAGTGTCAGTGCTCTCATGGCTCGTAGCTTTTAGCGCACATGTTCCTTTCTCTTCTTCTCCTTTTCTAACGTAAAAAAAGACCAAAAAAATCATAGTCTGAGATATTATATATGAAATCAATATGAATGCTCACAAAGGAAAATCTAGTTTGTCCTTCAATCGTCAGAATTATGTTAAGACACTTCTAAACAGAGAGCAGGAACTTGCGACCGGAACTGATCGCAGCCCTTTGGTCTGCTTTATCTTTCCCTTCTTCATCTAGTCAGCATCGGTGAAGCTATTTTGCTCAAGATTCATATGCCTCGTCGTCTCCGGTTCATCTGGGTGTTTCCGCCAACTTATTCCACCCTCGTTCGATCCACCCTTCTTCGAGACAAGGAACCTCTGGTATGATGCCCTGCACTGGACGAGCCCTGGTCCCCGACAGCGAGAGCGTCATGTCAGTCCATCGAAACCGGTAGAATCAATCTCAACACTGTGATTATCTGTAGACTGCGCCCCAAAACTGCATGGACGCACGCCGGAACAGGACCCTATCGGCGGGGTTCCCCTCAAGATCGCACAAATGCTTCGCAATGCACTGTGAATCAAGACACACTCATTCGCAAGGGTCATCGAATACTAACATGAGAGTGGTGAGAGGATGCGCCGCCCAGCTGACTTCGCTCCGGGTGAACGACGCCTTCTGGTCGGGTTGTGTCAGGTCTCGGCGGAAGTTGATGCATCAGGAGCCGGTCATGTTCCGGCAGCTACCATCGACATAGTCAAAAGGATTAGAGATCCAGTCGAAAAAGAATGCTCCCAAAGACTTCAACTTGTCGTGAAGACTTTCGCCAAGGCATTTGACATAGTTGTAGCAAAAGCGGGGCCCCGCATTATCGGCAGGTAGAGTAGTTGCAGGTGCCACGCCACACCAACCGCGTAGCTGTGTATGCCCTCAACCACCCACCCAAAAAAGCAAACCACCACCTAGGGAAACAAAAAACTCACACTGCCCAGATGCAGCCCGGGATCGTTGATACCCTCCAGGGGGGCACACCTCTCATTCCAGTGCTATGAAAACCCCTTTTTTACTCAGGATTTTCTAACCAGTCCTCCTCCCTTAGCACTGGAGAGGGTCGAACCGTCCTGCCACCGACCAGGTATGATGCAGGATGTTCGCCTCCTATGGGATTCGAACTACGCCATCAGCCTGCTGGGCTACTCGGTAGAGACCGTGCTATAATGATCACGGGGCGGAGCTGATTTCAAAGAGGTAAAAGGGGCCCCGAGATAATGCCGTGAACCTCTTGGCAGGGTTTCTGTTCTGGACCTCGTGGTACTTGCGCGCACTTCCTTGCTTGGCTGGTATTCAATTATGGTTATGTATGGTGTAAATGTCTAACCTGCTCTGCTTCTGGTTCCTTACATGTCTATATTAACGACGCCAGATCTGCTAGGTGGTCTACAAGCAAGCTGTCATCACCCCGCCTCTCATTACCTAGAAGAGCCACGGCAAGCACCGGATGCTTCGCAGCCATTTTTCGAAGGTTCGCTTGAGCAGGACGAGGTGTGATCAAGATGACCTCCCCACTCAACTCGATATTCCCCGCGAGTGGAATGCTTACTTTTCTCATGTTTGAGGCACCCGACGAAAAGCTCTACCCCCAGCCAACAGACACAAAAAGGCCATAAGATATGACCCGATATAGCGTCCCGATCAGCAGAAGCAGTCTGCGAGCGTGTCAGTCCTGTGATAACAATCATTATGTTATGTGAATGGGCTATGATTCTTACCCGATATCAAACCCAGTCCGGTTATTCTTGTAACCAATAAAATCCGAGGCGCCGTCCAATTGATACAGGTAGGCAAACGGCGAAGTGTTCTCGTTGTAGAACGCCTCGGAAAACCATGTCTGTATTCAGAGATCAGACGCTGCACACACATACACACACACGACAACT